GAGAGATTATGATTGGTCTTGTCAGTCACGCCTCGGCAGTTTGATCCCATTTTGTCGATTGCCGTGGCACTAATTATCAAATGAAAATCATCTTTAATAGGCCTTTGTTTTTTATTATTAATATTTAGCGATTTTATATTTAAATTATTATTATTTATATATTATTAATTGGTTTCAAATTGAATGTTTAATTATATATATAAATGTATATTGTGCTCTTTTAAAATACACATGTTATTATCGGCAGACAATATTAAGACATTTCCTTTTCTCATGTAACGCATTTGTCAACAGTGAGCTGAACTTGGTGCAGATCAGCTGATGGATATGCTTTGGTCAAACACAGCAAGTGCTCATGAATATGATAGTAGCATCTGTAATCTTCTTCTCATAAATAAATTCATAACTTTGATTTCTTATTACCAAAAAAAAAAAAAGTGATCAATTTGCCTACTTTTTCAATTCCATGTTCTGGCCCTACTTTTTATGAATCTAACAACACTATTTTATAATACTATTTTATAATCATGATTATAATTTATAATCATGATGCCACCAAGGCACCAAGCAAGTGCCCTTATAAATTATTTAGATGGCTATATCTTAACTTTCTTCAAAATTGTTCTGCTTAATGCAATATTGATCAGTTTGTGAAATGGCAAAGAGGGAGCTCATGAAGCCCAGTTTTCTGCAGCTTTTTGCGGGACTGCTTCTATTTTCCATTATGTTTCAAGGGCAGGTGGCTACCTGCAGCAGGTTTAGCTGGAGTTGTGATCCTGCATGCCAGATGGAATTAACAAGAGCAAGAAAGCTTTTAGACATGCAAGATTATTCAGGATATGTTCCACGACCTGGTGATTATGATTACAATGATTTCTACAGAAGGCAAGGTGATGTTCCAAGCCCAGGAGCCGGTCACTGAAGCGATGATATCAGTTAGACTCCCATCTCTAGTTGGTTGTTGTTGTCTTGTCTTTCTTCCCCATAGTTTCTCTTCTAATTCAGCTATATATATGTGTGTTGTTTGTTTGTATATGAAATATATACTTCCGTGCTTTTTTTTTTTTTGGTTATGAAATATATACTATTGTATTTGAATGCTTTATAGTGAATAAATTTATGTAATACGAGGTAAATGAATGGAATATATAGATTGTAATGACAGTGGCTTAGTTTAGTTGTACTTGTGATTCTGGTGGAAAGTGATGTGGTTTTGAAAACAGAATAGAACAATGATTTTGACACTCTGATTTAAGTAACAAATCAAGGAAAGGTTACCAAGTCCTTTTCCCCTGGTTTTGCATGATAGGTTTGGGCACCAAGCCAAGGAATGTTTCAATGGTCCAATTCTTTTCATTGATAAGTTAAGATTCTCCTATATTGCTTTTTTAGACAAAGGGATGCACATGCTTACTTTTTACAATTATTAAGGTTTGGTTTCTGCAAATTATTCCCCATGGCCCAAACAAAGCTAGCTCACCAATTTTCCATTGTAAGCCATGGAAAAGTGTACTGAGCTAAATAGAGTAATATATATCTATCTAGAAACAAGTTTGAACTTGAGAATAGATTACCGGCCAGATTAGCAGTTAGCACTCATAATTACTTGAATAAATTGGTGATCAAGTTTAGTTAGCAAAGTTATTATCATGGCATCTCTTTCTAGTATCTATGAACTTGTGAATAACCTTTAAATATATTTAGAATATATGGCTATTTTCTTTTTATTTGATTTAGCATTACAAAGTTTAAGGTAGATGAAGATTAATTCTGTACGATTTGGCTTAATGGTTGTTACCTCATTTTCAGAGGATGAAATATTGAAATCCAATTTTATCATTTGTGAGTTAACTTTCTTTTCTCTGGGATGGTAGGTGAAAGTTAACTCCAACTATGTATGCAGTCACTCGACTAATGCAGGCTGGAGAGTAGACAAATTGTGGCTTGGGAACAGGATTGAGCATAAAACAATGTGGGAAGCTATTCTCAAGAGATTGTGAGATTTGTCGGAAAGAATTATCACATCTCAAATCCCTATGCTTTGCTATCTACTATAGAAAAATTTCATTAAAGCAAGAAGCTGGTAGTATGATCATATTCATGCATAGGGAAGGCAACTTCCCATTTCCCAATTCCTTGTAATGAATTAAGAAGTTTGGGCTTGATGCTTTGCCTGCTCAAAACTGGACAATATTTTCAATTTGGGCTTCAAGTTTTGATTTGATCATGCAATTTGGACAGTCCAACACCCTTTAGATTTGAAAACAAGGGAGGAGGAATTCCAAAATGGAAAAACCCCAGACATTTGTCCAGATTCCATAGTCCCACACCAACATGTCCAGGCTGTTTGATGTTGCCTGTCATGGCATACACCCTACCACATTTAAGGGATTTTGCCATGTAGCAAAATTGAAATTCATGATTTGCAATTGATCTGAAGAAAGATACTTCATAAAATCAAGTTGCATTGCTTGTAGGGAAGGTTACTTTTGTTGGTACAAATGCTAGTAGTAAACATATGGGTCATGAATATGTGGTTGCAATAATCAATGCCAATTATAGCTGTAGAGAAATCTAGAGAGTAATAATTAGACATAGTTTCTTTTGGAAGCTGGAAGGTTTAAACTCTTTAGGTTTGTCTTTGGCATTGCATTTTATCCTATGGCTCTTCTGTTTATCATATTATAAATAAGTCATTCCAACTTTTCTCAGTTTATTTTGAGAGTTGGTGCGATAGGTTTCTCCATTGATTACATTATTAGTTTGAGTTGAAATACTGTTCAAAGAGTCCAACCATAAATTTCATTTTATTAGAAAAAAGGAAAAACTTAAGCCCAAGTTCATGCCCTTATTTGCTATAAGATTGTTTTTACCTTAATATCAAGAAAGAAATTCCATTTACAAATGGAAAAATAAGGTAATTTGAAACTGAGTGAGAACCATGTTTCACCTACCAATGAGAATGCCATTGATCAATTATTTTGATCTCAAATTTGTCAAAACTTGTGCTCAATTTGGAATTGAACACCACCTTTAGCTTTTAACTTTTGCTTTTAGTCTAAACCTACCCCAAGTGCCAAAGCCAACCTGCTGGCAAAGCTTCTCTCATCAGCATGCACTTTCTCAACCCCACTATAAATGGCTGCTAAGTTGTTGCTTTCAAATTGTGAATGTGACTTCAAACCCTCAGATCTGTTGGTATAAATCATACTACAATGCATCAAACTCTACTGTGACGGGGAGCGGGTATTGGGGACAGAACATATATATGTGAGAAGGAAAAATCAACAGTTTCTTAATCAGATTATCTAATGTAATCGTGAATTTATTTCTTTTACTTGATTTTTCTAAATGAAAATTCTATATTATAGTTTTCTTCATGCTTGAAATTGATTATAGTGTGAAGTTTGCATTGATCGGCATAGGGTCATACGTCACCAAAAAATGAAAGTTTAATGCTCTAGAACTGAGGCCTGGATTATAATCTGGACAGTATTTTATCATAGGATGAAATGAAGAAAGCAAGAAAAAAAAAAAAGAACATTCCTGTCATTCAGTTCAGATGGCTCTTGTGTACTCATGGAGTTACATTTGAAGTGAACATGACAAGGAAAGGACCAAAGTCCAAAGGCTATATTTGTTAAGTGCCAATATTCCCGCTCACGTGAAACAGTGAAAGCATGCTCCTTTACCAATCCATTTTCACAGAATCAAATATCTCTGTAGCTTCTCACCACGTTCTCTAATCTCTTCCCATTTCCTTTTCTTATACCAAGTGTTATACCCTTTTACAGAACAACATTTGCTATTGTCGGTTGCTACACATTTTTAACAGCTTCTGATCTTTTCATTTAACCTTCAAATCGATCCAAAACAGCCACTCCTTGCTAACATTACTTTCATAAAAATCAAACCATTTCACATTCTTATAGTTATAGGCCTTTCTTATATATCGGCTACTATAATAAAAGTTCCGAGCTTGTCTAGACTATAGAGCTAAATGCAACAAGCTTTCCATTTGGTGGCCATTGATTTGCCAGAAGAAAAGAAGATAGACTCGAGTAAGTTTCTCTATATCTACTAAGTTATTTGTTTCAATAAAGGTTCAAGGGGGGGGAGGGGGGTTCAGCAAAGTTAGGATTTTTTTTTTTTTATGTTTTGTTATGGGTTGGATTAATGGTGTTATATCTGTCATCTGTGGGAGGTCCTACAGCTGTTTCCAGAATGAAGTTTAATATTGATGAAAAATAGGGAGTCAGCCAATCGTAAAGGGTAGACCCAGTAGCAAGATGGGAGATGATGCAATCCAAAGGCTGTTTTAGCCTAAAATGTTGATATAGACAAAGTGGGTCTGCAAAAGGGTAGTCCCACCTAGGTGTCTCAAAACAGAAAGGAAAAAAAAAAAAAGCTGAGCAGTGATGACTTTGATTTTGATGCTGTAATAAAAAGGGTTAGGAAAGACTAGTGGTGAGTTAGTGCATTTGGATTGTCTTGGGGGGCTTCTCTGAAAAGTGGGTCAGCAAAAGGGTAGTCCCACCTAGGAGTCTCAAAACAGAAAGGAAAAAAAAAAAAAGCTGAGCAGTGATGACTTTGATTTTGATGCTGTAATAAAAAGGGTTAGGAAAGACTAGTAGTGAGTTAGTGCATTTGGATTGTCTTGTGGGGCTTCTCTGAATCACATGGGCTGCCCAATGCCCCATCAATCATCAGATACCTATAGTCCTCATTTGTAATTTACTGTTCCATTTCTGAATGATCTAATGGGGGGAGGCAAATTGGCTTTGGTTTCTTTCATTTGCTTTTAAGTTACTACCAAACCCCATTACTTTAAAAGAAAATAATAATAAGAGCAACTTTACCTTGCTTTTTATCTGCCAAAAAACAGTTTCCCAGCTTTATCACGCAAAACAAAATGAAAGGTTTGCTTAAGTTTGGTAGGTTTTTTTTTTTTTTTTTTTTTAGTTTTTGGATCTTTAAGTTAGGTAGGAACTTGAGAAAAAGAAAGTTGTGGTCTTTTGGGGTATTGTAAATACATTGTGATATTGATAAGCTCATGAAAAAATGGTCCTTCAAATCAGCTTTATTTCCGTGGGCACCTGTTTGGTTGTTGGTGTGATATATACTATTATATAGTCTTTTGTAAATGTAACTGTCGTTGAATCAAGTGATCGTGCTTTCTCGTTGCCATCACTCAAGATGCTCTTATTTTGTTCTCTTCTCTTTCCCTTCTAGAAAAATACTGGTTGAAAACTCTTTTGCATTTGCGTGTATATATATGTTTTATGTTACAGCTAGATGTACATTGGTTTTTCCTGCTTGTTTTTATCTTCTCCTCCTGTGTCCTTTATGTGATAATACTGTCTGAGAGTTCAAAGTTTGGCCTTTTTATTGAAAACTAAGGAACAGTGAAGTATCAGTTTCTTTCACTTTTCATTGACCAGAAAAAGAAAAAGAATAAAAAAAATGGAAAAAGAATGTATTTTTCTATAAAAGAAATGCAAAGTAAAAAAATGAGGGCCCTTCTGTATTTAAGAATTCTGCTGTATAATTCTAGTGTAGTTGAGCTTCAATCCCTTCGAAGGTTCCATTTATTTTGTACTAATTGGAATCTGGGGTGTAACTTGGCTCCCTGTTCTCTTCCTTTATGTGAGATTTTTAAAGATGCACATAGTTTTCTAAGAGTTTGGTGAGGGATGTTATAGAGGTATGGAAGCCATGTGGGTGAATGTGACGTGCTTTTTATCTCCTGTATTTGCTGGTGTGTAAAGTAGGGATTTGCGTGGATATCCTTGGAAATATCATCTTCAAATTCCATTGGTTTAATTTTTTTTTTATTTCTTTCAAATTCATGGTCATGGATTGCGCCACTTAAATTTGGAATGTTGTTTCAGTTTTAATCTGCAGCTAATTGTGTTCATTTGCAATAAACTCAGGCTGAATATTGAGGCATAATTATCATGGATCTTCAGTATGGGAAGTCCTTGGATACTTCAAAGGTTTGTGTATTTAACTTTTATATTTTAAAAATGCATATATCCATCAACCATTCCAAGTTATAGGTCATTTAGTTTTTGTTTTTTGATATAGGTAGACTTAGATTACATGGTAGGAGGATTTATGACTATATCAATTGAATTACATGGTATGGTTTCAATAACTTAGCTGACTTCAAGGAGAGTTGCCTAATCTGGTATTTTGTTACAGAAGAATTCTTGGAAAACCGCATTGCTTTTAGCATACCAAAGCCTTGGTGTAGTTTATGGAGACCTGAGTACTTCCCCTCTTTATGTCTATAAAAGCACATTTGCTGAAGATATTCAACATTCAGAGACAAATGAAGAGATTTATGGTGTTCTATCCTTTGTCTTCTGGACTCTTACTTTAGTCCCCTTATTCAAGTATGTGTTTGTGGTTCTTCGAGCAGATGACAATGGAGAGGGTAAGCATTTTAACAATTGTGTTGTGCATATCATTTAGCCATTAAATCGAAACCTTTTATTCATGATTTTGATTTTTACAGGAGGTACTTTTGCATTGTATTCTCTGATATGCCGACATGCAAAAGTTAGTCTTCTGCCCAACAAACAGGTTGCTGATGAAGCACTCTCTACATATAAACTTGAGCACCCACCAGAGAAAAAGAGCAGCTCAAGAGTAAAAATGTACCTTGAGAAGCATAAGGTCTTGCACACTGCTTTATTATCCTTGGTTCTCCTTGGTACTTGTATGGTAATTGGAGATGGGGTTCTCACTCCAGCAATTTCTGGTAAACCTCTTGGCAGTCAGTTGCTTAAATTTGGAACTGATTTTTCTCAGTCACCGACTAATTAATATATTCTTGGATATGTAGTTTTCTCTGCTGTGTCTGGCCTCGAGTTATCCATGTCCAACGAACATCACCAGTGTAAGCCCCTCAGCTTGCTATTTTAGATTTTGTGCTCATATTTAAATCGTATTGAAGTCTCTAATGTTCATGTTCATTGTTGGGGAGACAGATAAAGAACCTGGGAGAGAGGAGTGAGGTGTTAGGTTTATGGTGTTTGCTGTTTCGCATAATTACTTTCTTTGATTTGAACTGTGGTTATCCTTGTAAGCAAAGTTGACATTGTGAATTTAAGCAAAATAGGTCAATTTATATTAGTTAAAGGAGTAGCTTGGTGCTTCCTTCGTGTCATTTCAAGTGATAAATAGATAGGGAGATCCACTTGTTATTCTCATGTAGTTAATGAAAGACAAGCCAGTCGGCCTGCAGGGACCATTTAACAGCAAGTTGTGGTCTGGAATTACCATATCCTGTCGTTGCTTGTGGTCTTATCCACTCCTCTTTCATTCTGTTTTAGGAATGCTATGGTTTTCGAGATTGATGGAGGGGCAAATGTTGCTTTTTTAAGTGTTTCGAAATAAAGTAAGAGAACAAAGAAAATATTGAAGTTATGAGAGTCCTGGAAGGAATTGTGTACATGGTCGTATTTTTATACAGAATTTGCAATACTTAAGGTGGAAAGAAAACATGATTCTATTCATAAATTGTTTTCCGGATAAGACATTCACTCCTTTGTCATTTCATCAGAATGGTTGATTTAATATTTTGGCTAGCTTCATGCTTGAGCACACAATCTATTTCAGTACTATGGGGGCTGATTTCCACACTAATTAACATAGCATTTTGTTTCAAAGTTGGCTTTTAAAAGATAAGCTACATTATTTAGTCTTTTACTTTCTTCCATCCTAAGGTCTTGTTTTTCTTCCATTACATGCCAGTTTCAAAAAACAAAAAAATAATTATTTTTATGTGTAGCTATATTTAGTTTAGACATATTCATAATTAATTCCTATCGTTGCTCTAATTTGCTACCTTTTCATCTGAAATTCCTTTCCTCATTTGCAGATGCAGTTATTCCGATCACTTGCTTCATTTTGGTGTGTCTTTTTGCACTTCAGCACTATGGTACTCATCGGGTCGGATTTTTCTTTGCTCCAATTGTGTTAACATGGCTATTATGTATCAGTGCCCTTGGCTTATATAATATAATCCACTGGAATCCGCATGTCTATCAAGCTCTTTCTCCATATTACATGTTCAAGTTCTTGAAGAAGACAAGAAAAGGTGGATGGATGTCTTTGGGAGGCATACTGCTCTGCATAACAGGTGAGTTTGGAACATGCATACATATGGTAAAATTTCTTGTTGCATTGTGTCATTTGTCCACTTTGCTGTTGATAGGTTCAATGTAATCTCCTTACTCAAAAGAATCTGTGCTGGGGCATAAGTTGATTTTTTCTGTGTTTAAGGTTGGTTCATGGTCGTGACAAGATCATTATCTGACAATACTAGATCAAATCTTTTGGCTAAGTGGAGCTACCTAGAGTTAACCTGCTAGTGAATATCCATGTCCTTCGTAATCTCATCTGGCTAGGTTGTAACATTTGAAAGTTTTGCTCACATAATACTCAAGGCAGGACACGCTTTCCCATTATTTTGAGCTGAACATTTCGCATGATCTAATTTGCAAGGCCATTATACTAGCCACAATTTCTTTGGATTTGGATAAAAAGAATTCTGTACCATATCCATTTATTTTTAGTCTTCAATCCAAGTCATTGGTAGACCATCTGAAAGTCATGTTGAAACTTGATCGATATGGATAAGTAATACCATAACCTTAAGTTTGGTTCATTGTAACAACTGACAACCAGCGAATGCCAATATTATGCTTGATTATCAATGCAGGCTCGGAGGCAATGTTTGCTGATCTTGGTCACTTCTCTTATGCTGCAATTCAGGTAACTCTTAACATTAATCGTCTTCTAAGTTTTGATTTGGTTTTAATGCCTTACGTATTCATGTTAGTTCAAAGCTGGCTACTACAACGAAATTTAACCTTTGTCTTGCCGCAGACTGCTTTTACCTTTCTGGTTTATCCAGCCCTTATATTGGCATATATGGGCCAAGCTGCTTACTTATCTCAACATCATAATACGAGTTACCAGATTAGTTTCTATGTCTCAGTTCCAGGTATATTCCTCATCATCTGTTTTCAAAACCAAGAAAAATGGTCGGAAGCTGACTGATGAATAGGGACATGTAGATTTCAAGTCTGAGCATCCAAACCCCCAACCTATCCCTTTTTCCCCAAGGGCTAAGAAAAATTCAAAAGATAAAACAGTGGTTGGATGTGTCATTTCTACCTAGCTTAAAAAGGATTGCAATATCACTCTGTTGCATACATATCTGAATTCATGCATGGTTTGTAGACAAATAGAGTTGATTGCTTAATGATGTTGTGTACAGAAAGTGTGAGATGGCCTGTGCTAATAGTAGCAATTCTCGCTTCTGTTGTGGGAAGCCAAGCAATCATTAGTGGAACATTCTCAATTATCAATCAGAGCCAATCACTTGGTTGTTTTCCTAGAGTCAAGGTTATACACACCTCTGACAAGATACATGGCCAGATTTATATCCCTGAAATCAATTGGGTGCTCATGATCCTCTGCATTGCTGTGACCATTGGATTTAGAGACACAAAACACATGGGAAATGCGTCAGGTAAGGTGAAATTTCGTGTGTCCCAGATAATGATTTCCTAAGATATAATTAAAAACCATTTCCTTCCCAACATGAAATCCATGAAGATTACTCAATGGGCCCTCGAGGCCTCTACCTCTTTATCAAACTTCAGCAGAAAATGGTTTGACGAAGATCTTTTTATGTTAGAAGAAATAGATAGGTTTGATGCATTACAATTTTGTTCATTTTTGTTTCAGGATTGGCAGTGATGACAGTGATGTTGGTGACGACAAGCCTCACTTCCCTGGTTATTATCCTCTGTTGGCACAAACCCCCTATTATAGCTCTTTTCTTTCTTCTTTTCTTTGGTTCTATTGAGTTGCTTTACTTTTCAGCTTCACTCACCAAGTTCACAGAAGGTGCTTGGCTCCCTATTCTCTTGGCCCTTTTCCTCATGACAATCATGTTTGTATGGCATTACGCTACCATCAAGAAATATGAATTTGATGTCCACAATAAGGTATCGCTAGAGTGGCTTTTAGCATTGGGTCCAAGCTTAGGAATTGCTCGAGTGCCGGGTATCGGCTTAGTTTTTACTGATCTCACCTCAGGAATCCCTGCTAACTTTTCTCGTTTTGTCACCAATCTTCCTGCGTTCCACCGTGTCCTGGTCTTTGTGTGTGTGAAATCAGTACCTGTCCCTTTTGTGCCCCCGGCTGAGCGTTATCTTGTAGGCCGTGTGGGTCCTGACTCTCATCGGTCTTATAGGTGCATTGTTCGTTATGGGTACCGAGATGTACACCAGGATGTTGATTCTTTTGAATCGGAACTAGTTGCAAGATTGGCTGATTTCATCCGCTATGATTGGCATCGAAGCCAGCACACCAATTCCTGTACTGAGGATGATGCTTCCCACTCTAATGAATCATCAAGTGAATGTCGATTAGCTGTGATTGGAACGGTGTCATTTTCTTGCACACCACCTTATGAGATTGAGGAAAGTGAGCAACCAGCAAGTGTATCTGTTAGATTCTCAACAGAAAATAGTGTAACAGATGTCATCGAGATGGAGCCTGTGCGTGCTGTTGAAAGAAGAGTTAGATTTGCCATTGATGATAACTCCGAATCTGATGTGCGGACTGGTATGGAGATGCAGTTACGAGAAGAGCTAGAAGATCTGTTGGCAGCCCAAGAAGCCGGGACTGCATTCATTTTAGGTCACTCACATGTTCGAGCAAAGCAAGGATCTTCTATTTTAAAGAGATTGGCCATTAATTTTGGGTACAATTTCTTGAGAAGGAATTGCAGGGGACCAGATGTGGTACTTAAGGTGCCACCAGTGTCTTTGTTAGAGGTTGGCATGGTTTATGTGGTGTAAGCTTCTCACGTAAAGTTGTTTTTGTAGCTTTGTGTCATATAAAGATGAAGTAAAAGAGGCGTACCTGTAGATTAACTTGTTTAAGTGAGTTTCACCTGCTTTCATATATATGTGTCTGATGCAATAGAGAAATGAATTTAGTATTACGAGAGTGTAGAAGTCTTGCATCATTCTCAAATTGCATGTCAGAGTCTTGACAACTTGCAATTACATCTTACCAAATGTGGTGTCTCATCAATCTATATTTCCTTAGCTACTACTATCATGTAAATTTAGTGAAAATCTTACTTCAATCAGTCTATTTACATTGGTGGATATTAACAAAATCCTTCAGAAAATTTTGTTCATCACATTGATTAATTACTTGCGGATGGAGCGGGATTATTGAATCAGATATCTGGAGTTCTGAAATCAGAACTTGCGAACCTTACTTATCCTTGGGGGAATATTAATTTGCTTAAAGTTGTCCTAAAGGTGCAAATCTTTCCTTGTTTTCCTCCAAATGGTAGCAGAAGAAGACATATATGTAGCAGAACTAACATATAAAACAAAAAAACTCGGTTTTCTACTGACCATAAAATTTTTGTGAAGATATTTGTGGTTTCATATGTTATATATGTTTGACCCAAGTGTAAACAAAGCAGTCCGCTCAAGGAGAGCATTGGTAGGTGGTTGCCAACTTCTATGCCAAAGGAAGCAACCATGGGACTGAGGACTCTTCCTTTGTCACCTTCACAAAACAGTAGCCCTCCACATGTTGGACTTCCACAGCATGTTTGCACCCATAGATTCAGTACTTGGAGCTCTAACTTTTAGAGTGTCAGCTAAACAACAGAATGGTGAGAAAGAAGAGCCCAAAAAGAGCAAGCAATCTATGTTTAGCAGTGTAACAGAGGCCCTTGTTTTCTCTCAAGTTAGGTCTGTAAAGGATGCTGAGCTTCTGGAGGAGGCTAAAGAAGCCACCAGGACTGGTGGGAGAATGTCAAGGGAACAGGTAATTAATAGGACTTTCTTTTTAATTATTCTCTGCAAAATTAATCAATAATATTTTTGTTTCATAGCCAGTATAACTGCATGGGATTTGTTGTACAATGGGGCTCTGAGAAGGAAAATTGGAGGGACATACAAGGATTTCTTCAAATCCTATATTGAGGGTATGCAAATATTTCTCTTGGTATAAATATGAAAATGTGTAGCTTTGAAAGATTCTTAAAGTGATCAGATTAATTAGTCAGCCAAATGCATTGCTTCATTCAACAGTACCATCACAAATTCTGAGCTTTTTATTCTTTTTTTTTTCTTTGTACTTATCTATTTTAAACACTGGGCAGTGGATAGAGAATATGCGGAAGAAGGATGGGTAGACAAAACATGCAAGGTGTGCAAGAAAGATACAGGGGGTGAGGCAAGGCAAAGAGACAAGCTTGGAAGATATATTCATGTAGCATGCTTGGACAAGTCTAACTCTGGAAACTTCTCCACTAGATTATTCTCAAGATGATTATATATATATATATATATATATATTATAGGTTATAGTTTGTAATGAGATTTTATTTTATAGTTATTCATACATAAGTTGGATGTGTTGACACATTCTATAGATGGAAAAGTCTTTGTTTTTTTTTTTATCAATCCATTCCTTATTAAGGATAAAACAATAAAACTTTGGATTGCTTCACCTTTTTGTTGTTCAAAATTGCAATTAGCAGGACATAGCTTGTAAATCGTAACCTTTTACATTGCATTTACACGAGAGATTTTATTTATTAAATTGGAAAACAGAAAATATTCAAACCAATCAAATTATATTTTTTTATTAATTTTGGCTAATGTAAAAATAAACAAACCAAACGAAACAAAACAAAGCAAACTAAACTACTTGAAATGTTGAATTTCCATTGTTGTATGGTAAAGGTTTTTGTAGCTTGACATGCTTTACTCTTGTAGAAGTTCATGATGTACAGTATAAGCTTTGACAACTGCTATGAGGAAGCTGTCACTAAATCTAATAGGTTTAAGCAAAGAAAGTGTCTGTGTTTGGCACTGAACTTAGCCAAGCTGTCAAAAAAACCTTCTACCATTCACGCATTGCGTACCTCTCACACTGAAATGTCTAAATACTGCCTCTCTGGCCCCCAAAAAGGATTATCAAGCAAGTAGGTATCCTTATTCATATTCCTGTAACTAGGGAATGTTACTGCCTTCAATCAATTGGAAGCAACTAGCAAACATCAATTACTCCGTATTTAATGATATCTTCACATTGTTAATGTTGCAGATTGATTCCTGGAGTTCTACAGCAAGCTTTATTCTCTGAAGGGAAATCTAACATTATTCCTGCTGATGTAGTAGTTCCTTTTCAGCCTTCTTATCTCGAATCCTCCGAAATACCAGTCGCAGAAGCACTGGAAGCATGGAGATGGTACTTGGCTACTATTAGATCATTACCGCGATCCATTGGGTCAGAAATGCAAAAGGTATGGATTAGATTGACTTTGATTTCTTATAACATGTTATTCTCCAATGTGCAATTGCTGGCTGAACACTTGCAGCGCCTCTACATTTTAGAAAGTTTTATATTTCGAAGGGAGGTCTTGATGTATTTATAATTCCTTTTTCTCATGGATGTTTACTCATGGGTGGTAGAAGATGACTTGGTTGCAGCAAGACAAGCAGATCGGAGCTTGGGCAGTCGAGATTTTAGCTGGTAAGAAAGAGAGTTATGGTAATAATATGCTATATTAGCATTCTATTCTATTCTATTCTATTCTCGATGTAGCATTAAACAAAAATAAAACTCTTATGATTTGCAGATGGTTAACAATGGCCCGCCTGGTATCCTCAAGTTTTGGAGAAACCAGTCTGTCATTGGCACATTGGCAAATGGTGAAGGAATTGGAGAAGCTTGAGGAGGGGGAGGCTCAAATAATCGAAATCACCAAGTCGGAAATACTAAGGGGTTAGCTTGATACTTGTTAATCATAAGCAATTTTTGTTCTTTTCATGCCCCGAAGGTCATGAAAAGCAGCTTGCCGAAAGTTCTGTATTAGCAAAAGTGTTAACTTTTAAAGATGTTATGCTTGGCAAACCAAAATAGCACATTTGAGTCTCTGGGATATGATTGTGGCCCACCACCACTCTTGCCTTGTCTCTCATGTAAATATCATTCGAATTATCTAACTTCATGTATCTAATTCCTGGCAAGTTGAGCCTTCTTGTGAAAATAGAATCAATGGAATGCATATGAATGCAGCAGCTGATGTGAAAAGAAGCTGAGCTTTGCATAAAACTAAAATATGCAATTTCCTTCCTACCTCCCTGCGTGGGCTTCAGAAACATTAAGAATGTGGGGCTACCTAATGCACTCCAATTTCTGATTTTCCTCGACTCCTCGTTTTACCATGGGGATTTTACCTTTTTACATCATCTGATTTTCAGGCCCTGTAATTGTAAGCTTTTGATTACAACTTTCAGCTGAGACCCGGTTTGGTAACTAACAATTGATAATGACAAAAATGTGAATGAAATGATGCGACAGCAAGAGCGAGAATGAATTGCAGACTCAGCTGTTTGCGTTTTGACCCTGGCATTACAGTACAAAAGACAATTGGTACTTCAAGCTACAACAACAGACATTCATGGCACACAAAAGTGCAAATATTAAGGAGAATTGTTGAACAAAATTAAACCCTAGCTTAGAGCCACAAATTTAATTGGTACGAAAAAGTTAACAGAAACTGATATATCAGAGAATTTTCCATTATTCTTAGAAAGGAATACACCTAAGATTCGTTTACAACCTCTGTTATAATTCCTTACCTAATACAAGATCAAAACTGCATACCAGTCTTCCAAAGGCCAGATTCCTTTATAATAAAAGTGAAAAAAGAAGGCAAGATTTTGTGAAAGCAAGAATGACATTACAAATCAAATGATATACCAGAGCAAAGTGGCACATACAACTTGGTGACAAAGATTCATGAAATTTTAATGTGAAACCGGTCACCAGATGGGAAAATATACAAGACCTGATCTTTTTTTTCCTTCATCTGTGTTCTTTTGCGTGTAATTTACATCCCAGATGAGGATGTCCGGTTTATCCTCTGTGCACCCAATTTGAGAGCAGCAGGTTTAGTTCCTATGCCTCTTACTGCTGACAAAGGCTTGGCCTTGGTTGTAGGAGGGGGAGCTGCAATAGCTGCCCAAGGATCATCATCATCAACTGCTCCACCTGTTTTAACATTCAATGGTTTTGAAGAAGATTTTGGAGGAGGAGCAGCTATAGAACCCCACAAGTCATCATCTTTGTCTTCCGTCACCTTCGCTGTACTTTTTGGTCGCAAACTTGTAGCTGCTAAAGCAAAGAAACAAAAAGAATCACTCAAAACATACATCTTCTAAATGTCCCAAATATCTTATTAAACAAGTATCTAGAAAGACTTAAGGACCAATATACATGAGAAAAGATGACCAATAAAACTATATGTACATAAAAAAAGCCCACTATTTAAATAATGACACAGATTTCTGATTCAGTGCAATCCAGATCATCTACAGTTATTTTTGTCAATTTTTTCTGGTCTTGGACCATTAACATTAAGACTAGAAACTTGACTCCTAAATTTCACTATAGAATGGACAATAATACTACCTTGTGGTTTAGGCTGTGAAACTGGTAGTGACACAGGACGCCTCTGAGCTGCCTGAATATTTTCCAGGGCTGGAGACGGCTTTGGCTCTTCAAGGGGTTCAATATCATCCCATCCATCTTTGTCACTGTCCTGTTCTTCATGAATACCATTTTCAATTTCTCCCCAGCCATCAGTTGAAGTAGGGGACGCAGGCATGGATTGATCAGCAAAGTCTGTACCGGAACTTACACAGTGGACTGGTGCTGTACTTAGAGTTTCTATTAGTCCTAAGACAGTCACAGAGAACCAACATTAGAGATGGAATTTTGAATGAACAAAACCACATATAATCAGGCAAAAATAAAGACCAAAAGTGCAGCATGGTATTAACTTCATTTCCAAAAAATAAGTACCAATTCTTATAAGTAATTGCAAGAAATACCTGAGCTGGCTGTAGAGGTTGTGGTAGTTGCAAGTGTGACAGAATTAGCTGCAGCAAGTGGAGTTTGATCAGAAGGTTTACCTTTAAGAGTCAAGGAGCTCATGGCCCATCTGCAAAGTCAGAAACTTAGCAATCAACACCCGAAACTATACCCTTGGCAAAAGGAACCAACATAACCTATCAAGTGGCTACAAAATTTTTTAGACATGTGTTTATAAATCATTTAACTAATTAAGCGAGCCTAGAAGATTTAATACACCTTTAGGGAGACAAATTGAAATATAAAGTTTTTATGGTCACTGTTTACATGTGGTCCCTCTCGTAGCAGGATAGCAATCAATATGACCCTCCTACCAGAAAAATTCTCAACTTACCCCAGTAAACTAGCATTCCCAGGCATTGATGAGATCCCTAAACTTGCAGCACCAGCGATATCTCCAGCATTACTCTGTAAATAACCAGAGTGAAAAAGCATCAGCATAACAAAATACCATACCATAGACAATAGAAAATTTTTCTTAAAACATCCCATTAATGTTCAGATTTCAAAATTTTTACCCATGTATAAAGATATTATAGTTCAATATAGATAATGATACTAATACCATAATGTTAGATATGCCTTCAGTATTAGCTGAATCAAAACATCCACACTAACACATAAGATAAAGAATAATATAAAGATGAGAGATAAGCACCTAAAAGCAACAGGATATATTTTGAATAAAGGTAGACGTAATTAACTACATGTTGCCTGCATGCTTGAAATACATCTAATACAATGTTACCAACCAAACATGGCCAGACACTGATTGCCAGCAAATGGTTGAAACATGAAGGCCATAAAATTATAATTAAAAAATTCTAGGATGTATGCAGCTGCATCGATTTATAGCAACACCAGATATCAAGAAGTTTTAGCCAGGTTCAAATCATGATTTACTGCTTAAAATCTACAAACCAAGTGCTGAAACTGTTTCATTAAGGATGGGAATTTTAAGCTAAATTTATTAGAATGCTGATCAAGAAAACAAGTGAAAGCTAAAGATATACGTATGATGGAGGAGCATAATTTATTAAAGATAAATGTATGATATAGGAATATCATTTAATTCTGTGCTTGATAGCAACAAAACTACAGTCAGTTCACATTTGCCTAAATTCACTGGAAAAAGCATCTTAAAGCTAGATGAGAGGAAATAGCATCTTAAAGCTCACCTTCTCATTATATTGCCTCACTATCTGTAAAAATTGATCAACTGCTTGAAATGCCTTTGACTTTACATCACTGTTTAAAAGACAAGAGAGCACATTCTTCATGTACACTGAGAGATAGCAATAAAAAGACAACAATAAATAAACCGTTCAACAATAACATAACCTGTCAGGATCAATGGTAAGTACAACGATATTTGGAAGAATCCG